GGAGCAGTAAAATAATAACAATAACAAAAAAAAAAAAAACACAACTGAAGATTTTTTTAGAATTTTACATTTCTTAGAAATGAAAGCTTTAGTGGTAGTTCTGCCAAGAAGACTGGTATGTCAAGTCATTCATAATAATTATCTCATCAGCCTATAATGACCAAGCGTGCTGCATACTGTACAAGCCCATCTAAACAATTTGTTTCTCTGTACTCTGGTGACGTTGCAGAAGTTTCCCTCCATCCTCCCCACCATCACCAGGTCAGCCTTACTCAGGGGTTGGCTTTGCCCTGCCTTTATCCTCAGACAGGATCTGCCAGATCAGCCAGAGTTCTGCACCAAAGATGGGGCTTACATCAAATGACTTTATGAAAGGACCATAACAAACTTACATTTATCCAAACTATTCACAATAAATGTTAAAATTTTTATCTGCCTCCTAAAGTCTTTCTGATAGAACTGAGGAATTTGAATTCCACACACACACACACACACACACACACACACACACACACACACACACACATATATATATATATATTTTATATATATATATATATATATATATATATATATATATATATATATTTCTATTCAACTAATCGTCTAGTCGACTTTAATGCTCTGCCATAACGCTTTTTGATTGACGTCGACTAGTCGGGCTCCGCATATCAAGTGGTTTGATCAGAACTACATAACAGCTTTACACACGAAGATGGTTCACTGACTGTAACTGCCCTTTAGATTATTTAAAGTAATTTATAAAATCTTTTTTTTTTCTTATGTCAGCTTTAAGGATTCACATGAACTTTAAGTGAACTTTAATTCGTAAAACATAGGAAAGTTTGATTGGACCATGCAAATACCCTAGAGCAGATGCAAGCCAATCACGTTTATGCAACGATGAAAATGTCATGTGATCACCGTGAAACCGCAAAAAACATCTGACTTAAGCAGGATTTGGAGCAGCTTTCAAATGCGCACTATCATAGTGGTAGCTAAAATATGCATCTGAGCAGAACTCTGACAGTGTAATAAGGCTTAATGTTATAGCCTTTGTCTTTCATGCATTATTTTGTCATGAGAAAACTTCACATGAATCTGTGTGTTAAAGACATATGCATTACTTCTGCAGTAAAATACGTTATAGTTACATTCTTACTAGAACCTGCAGTGATCAATGTGTTGACTGCATTTATTCATTCATTTATTTTATTTTCAGCTTACTCCCTTTCTTAATCTGGGGTCGCCACAGCGTAATGAACCGCCAGCTTATCCAGCATATGTTTTATGCAGCAGATGCCCTTCCAGCTGCAACCCATCTCTGGGAAAAATCCATACACACTCATTGACACTCATACACTATGGACATTTTAGACTACCCAATTGACCTGTACTGCATGTTCTTGGAATGTGGGGGAAACCGGAAAACCCGGAGGAAACCCACGCGAACACACAGAAACGCCAATTGACTCAGCCGAGGCTCGAACCGGCGACTTTTCTTGCTGTAAGGCGACAGCACTACCTACAGCGCCACTGCGTCGCCTGACTGCATTTATTTAGCAGTAAAATTTGTCAGCGCTAATGTTGCATTATTAAGTGTTACATTTGATTTGCACTAAAATTAGTCATTGGTAATGTTGCATTGTTTTTGCAACGCGATATGAGCTGTCAAACAGCATGTTTATATATTTCCTGCAAATAAATCGCAAATTGTGGGATGTTGCAAAACATTTGCATCTTGTGTTTTATTGATGACATCACCAGTGACTAGACGATGTTGGCTTTGATAAAATCAAAGTCGACTTCCAAAAATCTAAAGTTGTTCAACCCCTAATAAAGTATATATATATATATATACATATATAAATGAGCAATATCACACGAGTAGCAGTGTGAAATGGCTGTATATCGGCACTGGTGGGAAGCGTGCGTTGCCTTAGTGCCCCCACCAGTGCCGATATACAGCCATATCGCACTGCTACGAGTGTGATATTGCATTTATATAACAGTTTGATGGCATAATTGAGTATAAAAATAGAATCTAACATGAAGAGTCTCAAAAACCCTTTTGTATAAGGAACTACTTTCTTCAGGATTCAAATCATAAGCTGACAGTTAAACAGTTGAGCGTGCATCTTTTTTTCATATAGATTTTTTTTTATGTATATGTATGTGTTTGTGTGTATATATATATATATATATATATATATATATATATATATATATATATATATAACTGTTTAATATTCTTGAGAATATCTAGGGACAAAAATAACTTAGAGACAACTTAGCAACCACCTAGAACACTAGACATGACAAGATTAAAACAAACAAACAAACAAACAAAGAAAACTTAGAAAACATTAGCAACCACATAGGAACACCTTCACAAAAGCCACTACAACCTAAACACTTTTAAACTGTGAAGCACCATTTTAAGATTTATTGTGAAACAAAAATGTATAATCAGGAGAAAAAAAACTGTTGCATTCCCAGACATCAATCATTTGAGTTGCAGAACGATAATCATGCCTTTCCAAAAAAAGCAAGAAGGAAAATAAGATGAAAATGACATGTAATCTAAGACATATTTATCGTTAGTGATGTAGTTTATTATTGTTTTGTAAATGCATCATCACTTTGTACAGTGAAAAATCAAACATGAATGTGGAGTTTGTTTACTTTACCCAAAAACATTAGTTACCAATAAGAAAGTTGCCCCGATCAGTATTGGAAATTACAGAAATGAGGTTTTGTTGAACTATATGTCCAAAAAGGTTCACATGTGAGGGGAAACATTACATTTGAACCATACTCAACTGTGATGTGAACATAGCTAAAGAGCGTATGACGAATTGAATAAACTCAACTTTTTGTTCACAGCCTCATATTCATTCAAGTCAAATAAAGTCTTTATTGACTCCATTAATTGATTAACAAACTGTTTCAATAATATCTGCACCACAACTAAAGCCACGCTAAACAAGTGGACGTGTCACATTAAAACAAGAACATCTTAGCAAATGTAACCATAGCTAAAGCTGCAAGCCCCTATGTTGGCTGTTTCTTAAATCACTCAGAGCCTGCCCTCAGTTCTCAGAGACAACGCCATCCCCCTCGTTTGTTTCCATTTCCTTCTGACACTCCAGCGACAAAAAAGAAATCCAGTTTCATCCGCCTCTGAAGCGCGGAGATCGTTAGCTAGCGGCGCACACGCCTAAGCGCCTTTGAAGTGGGTATGAAAAGCGTATTTGGTATGCAAAGAAAATTAGCATGTATGGCGAATCACAAGGCAAGATTTTTTTACACCATTTAACGATGTGACAGTGATGAAAGATGATCCTGTTTACAAAGCTAGCGTTTGCGCGGCGTCCGGGCCTGGTGCGGCAGGACGCGCAACCGACGATCCCTCGCCCGCCCGTCCGTGTCTTTCTCTCGCTCCGAGATGGACAGATAGGCCTACAGATGACATGGATATGGCGCTCTGCATTTTAGCACCATTTCTTTGGCAGGAGATTAGAGGGAAATGTCATATCTGGCACTGTCAGCCATTACAGTCTGCAATTTTCTGCAGTCTTTCAGCCCTCCCTCCCTCTCTCTGTCTGCCCGTTGTTCTGTCGCTTTTTGCTGTCAAAACTGTCAGCCTGGATCACGCTTTTATCTGCCTCGAGCTCGTTTCGCTCTCTTCCTCGCTCTCCCTCTCTGACTTTTTCTTTTTTCATGAAAAACAGCCTTTTGCACAAATTCATAAATGATGGCGGTGAAGGGTGGGAGGGGGAAAGCGAAGGCTGAAATTTTCCCTCCGAATCCTTAACAGCCAAAGCATCACATTTAATCTCTTCATTAAAAACATTTTATTCTTTTCATCATCTTCTCCTCCCTTCATCCTCGGCTCGCTGAGGCGCGCACAGCCTCGCCGGCTCCGTATTACCCATCCATCCGAACGAATTTGCTAGGGATTTCGGACACGCGTTTGACAGCCGTTAGTTAGGGACGCGTATTCTGCTAGTCTTGAGGGAATTAGACACAAATTCTCATTACCCCTCTCTCAATCACATTACTTCTTCATCCAAGCCCCGACTGATACCCTACTGCTGGTTTTCTCTTCGAAATAGCACCAAATTACATAGAAATAGCACCAAATAAGAATAGGGAACCTACAGCAGTGCTTCATTTTGACTCAACCTGTAGTTCTGACTCCAAGGTCATTGTCCACAACAATATTTCAAGCGCCATAAATTTTCTAGTTGGCTGTAATAACGAAATAAAGTAATAGTAACATCACTTGATGTGTGAAATTGGTTAAACAAAAATAAACAAAGTACATTTAGCTGATTATGTACAGTAGACTCTAGCCTAGCATTTTTTTGTTTTTAAAAGATATCTAATAGACGTTTAAACATAGTCGTCTTGGCTAAAAAAAGAGTAAATTTGGCCTGTCAGTGAAAATCTAATAGACGTCTAAGAATAGGCCAAAACTAGACTAGTCATCAAATAAACAGAAATGAATGACTACACATATAAAGTCTGTCTAATCTGTCTATTTGATGACTATAGTCTACTTTTGGGCTATTCTTAGACGTCTATTAGATTTTCACTCACAGCCCAAGTTTAGCCTTGTTTTATCTAAGCTGTCTTTATTAAGATGTCTATTAGACATTTATTAAACATAAAATTGTTTGCTGGGAGGGCGAGTATAAGCCACTGTCACATTTCAGAAATCCACATTTCAGAGATCCACTATTGATAGCATAACTGCAGAGAGTTCAATGATATGTTTGCAGTCAATAATGCATGGCTATTATAAAAAAAAGAGTATTGTGCATCCAACAGGCATTTTCCTATAGAAATCCTTTTCTACAAACATGTAAGAACACTTCAATGCAATTACAACTGAATGAGACTTTTAACAAACCGAGTCTTGAAAAGCAAAACAGACCTCTTCTATTGGCTGTTACGGATATTGACGTCATAATGACACATTTGATTGTGCTTACCTCACTGAGTCGATCTTTAGAGCTGCTCCTCTGTGCTGCATTCACCTCTGTCTCCTCTATTTTCTTCACAGCCTGGCTCAGAAGACTCACCGACTAGGAAAAGCAAAGAAAAATAAAATTTAGAAAAAGCTTTATGTGACTTGTAAACCTTATGATAAGAGCTGATCTAGAAAACTTGGTCTTCAGGCAAGTTTGGAGAAAGAGTACAATCTGCTTGCGATGTATGAAATACAGTTTCTGGGCACACAATCTTATTAATTTTAATTGAGCACCTTAGTCTCAATATCAACAACCATTTATGATCACTGTTTACTCATACCACATATTAAAATAAACCTGTTACAGAACCTTGGTTTACACAACAGTCTATGCACTTGCTGCATCCCAGGCACCAATATGTTTACAATGTTTAAAAAGTCACTGTCTGAACATCTGAGATTATGCATAAACAATATTATTAGAGTACACTGTGAGTGTATATTGGCACCATTGGCCACGAAAAAATGAGACAAATGCCTGAAAATATGGGCCAAAAAAGATTATGCTGCACTGTATTGCATTCAGTGTGTTCCGCCAAGTTATAGTCACTAAGCAGTGTGAAGTGGCTTTCACACCAGACGTGGAAAGCGCTGTGTTATAAAAACCCAGTCGTTTCATTGCATTTCAGTTCACAGTTTGTTGCTCCAGACCAAAACACAAGGGCTCTCCTCTATTTTCCTCATAGCCTAGCTCAAAAGACTAGGCAAAGCAAAAAAATAAAAATAAAAATAGACTTCAGAAAAAGAGAACAAAAGCTGTATGTGACTGTTGCAAACCTTATGATAAGAGCTGATCTAGAAATCCTGGGTCTTCAGGCATGTTTGGAGAAAGAATACACTCTTATCTGCTTGTGATGTATAAAATACAGTTTCTGGGCACACAACCTTATTCATTTGAATTGAGTACCTCAGTCTCAATATCAACAACCATTTATGATCACTGTTTACTCATACCGCATATTAAAATGCTCCTGTTTCTGATTTTTGCAGCCGATACGGAGTACAGATTCTTTGTCATGGTGATCACCCGATAAAGAATACCAATTCTGATACTTCAAGCTGTATAATGCATAAAACACATTTTCGCTCGCTCTCGTCTGGTATTTTCACTAATTCACAGCCATCACGGTGCCAGTATGAATTTGCAGGAGACTTGCAGAGCTTCTGACAGAGGTCATATGATTGTAAGAGACACTAGATGGGGGCGATCACTCTACTCATGTCACATCAGCTACAAACACTGGATATACAATGGTTGCAACAAAGAGACCATCGCTTGTGTGAGTCGTGCCAATAAACTGTGTACACAGAGGTTGCATCGCACCTGTATTAGAGTTGGGCGATGTCGACTAATTTGGCGTTGTACGATGTCTAATGTGAAACATTGCGATGGACGATGGCATCGTCATCATGTAAAGAGCGAGGGAGTGGGGTGGGGGGGTAGGGGGGTGATAGACTGTGCGCGACGAGTCTGAAGAGCTATGAGGGATCCGGGGGTGAGAAGCGTGCGTGACTTATTTGAGGACCGGGATGGAGACGCACGAATTCCGGGAGATTATCACTCATTTGCGGGCATTATGAGTCCCGCAAATGCATAGAGACTCCCGGAACTTCTGTGAGACTTGGGATGTCTGAATATCATGTTTAACAACCGTAGTGAGCCGCGATCCAGCGGTACAGACTTGATAAAGACGTGCACTGCTCTCCGTCTCTGGAGCTCTGAGAGAGAAGCTTGTGGCTGTGTGTGTGTATGTGTGGCTCTGCAGTGAGCACTACTTGTCTGTGTGTGTGTGTGGTCACATGATGTGCGTTTTCAGCGGACGGTGGGCTGTTCAGAAATGCTAGGTAAAACACTGTGTGGATGTGGATCATTTTTGTTCTAAAATGCCATTTTAATACTAAGACATATTAGTGTAAATGGGGCCTAAGTGCATTTTTTTTTGCGAGCCTGTTTGCGAGGGGGGCGGGGCATTGGCGATGCCGGCTCAGCATCGTGTTGTCTATTTGTCATCGGCATCGTCTATCGGCCCAACCCTAATCTGTATGTATTTTTAGCTGCTGTGACCCGAGCACAATGATCACTCACGCCCCCCACATCATTCATCTCCTCACGTGTTGTAGCTACTGTATGCGTAACCCAGGAAGTATGTTTTATGTGCATCTTCCTCTGCTTGTAGATCGGTTCATGAGATCCGCCAGATCAGTAAGTTCTCAGCGAGTCATTAAATGTGATCATCAGCTGCACCCCAGGCACCAATATTTTTACAGTATATAAAAAGGTTTCTGTCTGACCATCTGAGATTAGGCATAAACAATATTATTAGAGTACACTGAGAGTGTATATTGGCACCATTGGCCACCAAAATCAGACAAATGCCTGCAAATATGGGCCAAATAATTTTTATGCTGCACTGTACTGCATTCATTGTGTTTGTTTTACTCTCCCTCCTGCCATAGTCACTGAGCGGTGTGAAATGGCTTTCACACTAGACGTAGAAAGCACTGTGTTATGAAACCCAGCCATTTTATTGCATTTCAGTTCAGTTTGTTGCTGCTTCAACCAAAACACAAGGTAAGCGGAGCGCATGCGATATGGTCAAAATATAAAACAGCTCAACATTCCACTGTGTGTATAATCCTTTGATAAACCTGTAAATGTATCTATGCAAAAACTGCACATGGTCACCAGAAAAGCAAAGCTCACTCAAAAAATGGGCTGAAGGGCTGAAATTTCATTTCTGTTGCTTGCAAAATTGCATAACTGTACTGTCATGGCAATGCTGGTAAAATACTGCTAATGCAATACTGGTAAAAACTCATCCATTGTCAAATGGAAAAGTCAGCTATATATATATATTTATATATGTATATATATATATATATATATATATATATATATATATATATATATATATATAGAGAGAGAGAGAGAGAGAGAGAGAGAGAGAGAGAGAGAGAGAGAGAGAGAGAGAGAGAGAGAGAGTGAGAGAGAGAGAGATAGAGAGAGAAATAGATAGATAGATAGATAGATAGATAGATAGATAGATAGATAGATAGATAGATAGATAGATAGATAGATAGATAGATAGATAGATAGATAGATAGATAGATAGATAGATAGATAGATAGATAGATAGATAGATAGATAGATAGATAGATAGATAGATAAAATATACAAATAAATTATTATTACAAAACATTTTTGATTTAGTTTTTTGGCCTAGAGCATCTAGAATTTTTTGGCTTCGGATTTGGCCAAGACATTTCATTTCAGTCCAAATCTATAAGTTATCACCAACAAAATTAAGTCTTTGATTGCAACTGACGCTATAAAACAGCATAATTATCTCAAAGACACACAATATTCTAATATGCAAATATGTAAGGTGATCCTTTCTTCTGTTTGCTATGGAAATTTTAAGCCCAAGAGGTGTCTAGATCTGTCTGGAACCAGCTCATTGTTGTCTTACTACTTTTATCTGGTGCACCAACAGCATTTGCCCATGAAAACCCAAGGGAAGCCCAATCTGAGAGTGGGGGGCAGGTGAAGGTGGTGTCTTTTGATGAAACAGTGAAATGTTGGTGGTGATGTAGGCAGCTTCATGCAATTCTGTGATCTGATTGGTGGAAGAGGTTAGGGATGCTCTAAAAACTCCCTACTTCACCTGCCTTTGAAGATACACTGCTTTGAAATAGCTCACCTGGAAATAGCATTCACTAAACTTGTCTTTTTTGGATAGCAATCTGCAGGTAAGGATATACAGTAAAAAATATTAGCTAAGAGCTAGGTCCAACAAACAAACAAACAGACAAACAAACAAACAAACAAACAAATAATTACATTTTTCTATGCATTTATAAAACAGTTTTGTCTGGTTCTTGAATCTGATTGGCTGATAGCCGTGAAATATTCTGCCAGTAACAGCACTCATTCAACCTCTTTACCCTTCACCCTTGTGTATTACTCCACCCACATACAGCAACAAGCAGAGGACACTCTACAGTTTGACAAAAATTGCAGCCGTTGGACAACATTATGTACTTTTAAGGATTTTTTTAGTCAAGAATGTAGTTGTTTAGATTGCAACTGTGCAGTTTATTTATAAAGGATAGTGTCTATGTTAAAATATTTATAACTTTTGAGAGACAGCGCATTGGCGGCCATCAGCCTGATATTGAGCAGAGCAAAGATGGTTGACATTGTCCTACCAAAAGTAATGTATGTATATATATATATATATATATATATATATATATATGTATGTATGTATACATATGTATTAATTATATATGTATATGTTTATTAATATGTATATTAATAAATATTAATGTATTATGTATATTATATTATATTTTATTAATTAATATTATGTATATTAATATGTATATTAATAAATATAATTTATATATATATATATATATATATATATATATATATATATATATATATATATATATAGTTTTATTTATTTTTTACATTCTATTATTTTACTTTTATGTATATAAATCATTTCATGGTTTCCACTTCATAAAAATGTTTAACCAGAAGTACATGAATAATACTCGAATGCCAAATTAAACTAATAATATTATTAAAATTTGACCACATATGTGATCCTAGATCACAAAACCATCTTATGTTGGTCTTATGTTGCATGTTTATATTTTTGGCATTAGCCAAAAATACATTGTATGTGTCAAAATCATTTTGTTTTATGCCAAAAATAAATAGAATACAAAGTAAACATCATGTCCCATGAATATATTTAGTACATTTCCTATACTAAATATTTCTAAACATAATTGGTAATTAGTAATAAAACTTCATTCAGACAGCATTTTCTCAGTATTTACATTAGTTTCACCCTCATATTTCTGTTTTTCCAATAGTTGTATCTCAGCTTAATATTGCCCTAAAAAACATCCTTATAGTATGACTGTTTTTGTGGTCAAGGGTCACAAATCTAATCAAATAAATGCAGTGTTGGTGAACATAAAAGTCTTCATTTAAAGCATAAAACAGTTGACCAACGCTATATATATACTTTTAATTTT